AAGTTTGAATGTAATCGGTCTGAGGCAAGTTGGGAAACGTGCATCTCCCATGCATGCATCCCAACTTGTCAAATGTCAAAACACAAGTCCTTGCTTTTGAACTACATCTGAGCAAGAACTACAAATCACTCTCCAAATGGGGGTCAGGAATTTAGACTCAACCAACTATTAATTCTTTTTCCCCATTTGGCATTGAAATAAATCAAAAATATTTAACATTGCAGACTAAATCTTATATCACATGACATAAAATTACCAAAACCTAGGTGACAAACTATAGCTAAATGCTTAACTTGCTTGTGGACTAGAGAAGTTCAATCTTGTACACATTACACACCAATTTAAGGGCTATTATAAAAACACTAGTACCTGATACACAATACTCGTCGTCCACTTCAAGCACAAGCACAAACACCAGTTATCGTCAAGACGACATTGCTGTGATTGTGAACTTTTTACTATGGCTATTTATTGCATCCCAATACTTTTCATGGTCCCATTATGGCACAGCTGATCACAACCACTGATAACATTCTGTTTTGGGGGCAATTATTTCAATCCACTACACAACTCATGAACACAAATCAGGAGTATACAACAATCACACAGTATATTCAAAGTAGACTTGGCTAGGAGTGGATTTCCCAAGTAGAAGGAATGCAAAATGGTTTAAGAATGTGAACACCAATAGTGACTCATTACACAGGAACCAAATAATAAACACCACTCCAACACTCACTAGTAACATTTCCATTCATTTAGAACACATGCTCATAAAGAACCAGACAATCTTTTCCAAGATAGACAGATAGCAGCATTACAATAACAATGTCCCTTTTCACACATCAGGTTTTTGATACAAGCTTTGTATTTTACATATGCAGTACACATTCATGTTTTTGAGATAATAAATCCAGTTGTTATTTGGAAAGAAAGAATGAAGAGATGAGATACAGCATCGGATGATTACTCACTTTTCTGGGCAGCAGTTGTTCCTTGGATAACTTGATAGAAAATATGGAACGTCCTTTCTGTGGGATTCTGTTGTACAACTCGCGCCTTTTCCAGAAGATCTTTAGCTAGTTAAGAAAAACTACAATCACAGATTTCTACTCAATCATCCAAGAATCAAATTAGTTCTTTGTATATCAACAAAAACAGTATTTGTTATCCCACTCCGACGTAAAGGTTCAACAATAATCATAAACCTCACAATAATATGGGATTATTTCTATTGCTGCTTTTCATCTATACACCAGTCATGGCAGAGAATATCAACTCTTGGTGTGTTTAGATCAACAGCATAACAACTGAGAAAGCAAATGCCTGACTAGCACTACATGCATCCAAATCTGAGAGCTATAAAGTAAAACTTGGGATAAACACTTTAAAAACTTGCGCACCTTACAATCAATTACTCATTAACATAAAAATATGCACAAAAATAGAGGACTTTGATTAGAGGCCAAAGCAAATGAACTAGCCATGGTAAATTTCAGTTTTTCAAATTCATTCTTGGAGTGAATTATCATATGAAATTGACAAGACTAAGCATGTCCACCATATGATTTTAATAGCTACTTGAAACAGATTTGGAGAACACAGTGAAATATTTAGCTCAGCCACAATACATTAAGTGCGTCATTGTGAACTTGCATGTCTTAACTTACACAACATCAAGTACAGCAAACGAAAATTTGTACATACGATAACAAGCACATAGTATTTGCTTGATTGACTGAAACATCCCCTATAACGATTTCATTAATTAGCATTGATCTGAGTTATCCCAGAATTCATTGGTTGAAAATAAAGGATACATGTCTCAATACTGGCACCAGCAATAAACCCAGATGTATCAAAATTGATACGGATGAATTTACCCTAAGAGAAAGAAAAAGAAAAAGAAAAAATAGATCATTTTCTAATGTTCTTTGCAAACATTTTTGGCGGAAACAAGTATTTAATATTCATTGATAAGAGATCATTTTCCATTCACTGCGAGATCCCACGTTATGAAATCCCACTTAAAAACAGGACAAGCTAAGGTCATAGCGTTGTAGTAGCGACAAACATCACATGGGATTCTACAAATGCGAAAGTATTTTGGGGGATATTGCCATGCTTAATATGGTACTGTACATATTTGGTCAATTTCATTGAAGTAATGGTATTCAAATGCAATACCCCCCCCCCTGTCACATGACACACATGTTTCCTACCACTTTTTTTCACATTCTACAATATGCTTTACTAGTATCGGGTATTGTTGGCGCTTTCACTAGATTTAATTGTGAAACAGAAAACAATAGTACTAGCAAGTTCAATTCTGGCATAACACTCCTCTCTAAATAGTACACGCCATGCACAGTATTTCAACAGTCTATTGTACCATGCTTGAGCAATATTTTATAATTTATAATAATATTTTGATCACCAGCACACAATACTTACAAATCTTGAAGAGTTGTCATTCTTGACTGTCTTCGCATTACCAAATGCTTCAAGAATTGGATTAGCTTGAAGCAGCTGTGACTCGAGCTCACCCTGATAGTTTCAAATAAAATGACATGTTATAATAAAATATTACTGTGTATCCTAATAATGAATGGAACAAGAGTATAGAACACATATTGCTTTAACAAGCTGAATACAAGAATAAGGTTAAGCTGCAATTCAATAAAGCAAGAAATGTTACAGAGAACAGTTGATTAAAAAATATGACAGGTTGCATTCTCCCTACATATATGAAATTCATTATAATGATTTGAACTTTGATACAGAAATGTGCAATGCATCAAGTGATCAGTCAGAATATTATCAATTCTCATTAAGGACATACAAAACCCATATTTTTTAACCATCTTTCATATACTGAAGCAAGTAACTTTCGGCCATTTTGCATAGTGTTGCATTGTGGGATACATCATGAGAATGACTTTTTTGTCATCTAAGCATCCACACTGAGCTAGATTCAATATAATGGTAAAAAAGCTGAAGCATGCATGTACCACTGTATACTGCAAAGCAAATACAGTCTTGCTGTACCATTAACAAAGTGCACGTTTAGAGAACGCAGCATTGCATCTAATTTCTTTCATGCAAAACATGCATTACTTCAAGCTTTTCCCTGTGTGACTTGTGCTTATGCATTCTCCTCAGATATAACATGTCCGTTAATACTTTGAATGCAGGTCAGCTTTTGTCAACATGCATATTTTGTTCAAATATGTTTATCAACCTTTTACACACCATTACTGTAAAATGTTTAATTTTCCTCGCTATGATTTGATGATTTTATGGCATTCGAGAAAGCAAAATTTTCAAAAGTTGCTGACACTGTGTCGTAAGACGCAGAGAAATTTCACTGATACAAAATTGCCAATTTTCACGAACTCATGAACAATAGTTTTGAAAATTAAAACAGTTTATAGTATACACCTTTGGTCTAAAATTAACTAAGATTCTATAGAATATACATATAAAAATAATTGTGCAAAATGAAGGAAAGATTACTACGGCATTCAAAGAGTTACAAAATACCTATTTACACCCAGGGTCAAGTGCATGGTATTGCTCAAACAGCAGTTTCTATATTGCACATTAAGTATTGCAGTGTAGTGCAGTGCAGTGCTTGTCGACTGTTTATTATTAAACCAGGTTTTCAGGCAGTAACCTCAAATTACAATATATTAAGCCGATAAGAATTTAAAATTCAGAATCGGGAGAAATCCAGAACTCATCAAATTCTGAAGAAAAGACAGATCTAACTTAATAGTAATGGAACATAGAAAAGTATATATAAAAAAATAAATGATGAAGAGAGAAACAACCAAGTTTATTGGCAACATATTTGGATGGAGGGGGTTATTGTACAGAAATGTACAATTAATAAGTATTTTGTTTCCATAACAACATGCTGGTTTTAGTACAAGTAACAAGTTTGAGGTATTACAAATTCAAATTTTGATTACACATGCTAAATTTAGTTAGTTACATTTAGTAAACCAAATTTCAATTATTAATTTATTACAATTTACACTGAACAGTCTGACCACAAAGAAACATCACTGTACATTTAATAAACATAACTACGAAGGGACGGCCAAAACCCAATATGTGCATCATTAATGTGAGTGTTTATTTACTGACATGCACCCCATCCAACCAATCATCCATACTTACGATTGAACCGCTGCTCATTGCGAATGAGCTCTATGCACGCACGTAACAGAGTGACCAGAGCACGTAACAGATTGACAACAGGATAAATGGGATGAACACAAAGGAAGATTAGGTGTTGAGAAAGCATGACCATGCAAAGAAAAAAAAAGAAAACAAAAAACAGAGGCTTACATTACCATCCATTATTTACAAAACATTGACAAGATTTGGTTAAGCAACATGGAAAACATGCAATGAAATCGAGCTCATCTGTTGTTAATCGTATTGTTAAAATTTGTAATAATTTGATTAAGTTTATAAATGTTTTTTTTTAGTAAATGACCCATAAAATTTATGAGTTTGTTATTTTTAGAGAAACCACTCTCAGTACATACCGGGGTAGTACAGAGAGTAGTGCATGTTATATTGCATAACCATTCTTATAAAAATTAGTTTGAATGTGTTATTAGTACTCACTGCAACAATACCAGAGTCTCTCCTACTATTTAGGAAGGACTGCAGACATGACAGCAGTAATAAGAAAGAGGATGTGTTGTAGGGTAAGAGACTGTCAGTTAGATGGACGTGTCAGTGAATTCAGGGAGGAAGGGATGGGAGATGTCAATATCACTTCATAGGGAAAACATGTTTAGTAGGACTCCCTAATAGTAAGAAGATGCAGGTAAGGTTATTGAGCCATCATGGAATATTTCAAATTAACAAAACATCTGATAAGTCAGATTAGATATTTACTACAGCATTCAATGATGGTTCAAAACAAACCTAAACACCCTGTGAGGATTAAAGTGCTTATTAATGCAATGTGTTCAGTAGATGCAGTCAGTTATAATCACAAAGTAATACATGTAATATTCACCAATGACATAATGTATACATGACAATATTAACAGAAACAAAATTGAACAAATTCATCAGAACAGCAGAAACCATGTCTTCTGCATTAGAAGTAGTCACCAGTCCAGCCATGTGTACATGTCACATAATTTTCAGGATTGCCAGGTCAAACAAATTATTGACAATGTTTCAAATGCCAACATGGACTTTTCTGGTGCCATGTCTTCTAATAGGAAGAATATGGTTGCCACTGATTTGACTAAATACAAATACATAATATATGAACAAGTACATGATACCATGAGAACATGAGACCATGAAGAACCTGGCGTTATTGTAAATAACTTCTGCATTCCATTGCAGCTTAATACCTTCCTCTTTGATTTGGGGTACTATATCATGTAATGTATCACGACATGTTTTGGGGGTTGATTTAATTCTTGCACACCAGTAAAAGTCTATCGGTGAAACAGGCGAGGATGCTTTCCAGCTAAACAAATGGAACATGGTCCCTATTATTTTGTTTGGCTTTTGGAATATTGATTATTCTGAACTAATGGTGCAAGAAATCAATGGGTGTAACTTAACAGTAAATGAGGTTTTCTGTAAATGATAGTATGAGTACTTATTGCTGTTGGGGTTACCACATTTGCATAACTAGAAGCACAAAGGCCAGCATGTCAGGTTAACATGTGGACTTTAATGAGGAGAATCACACCTTACATAGAGACCAATGCATGTAATGTGGGAATTTAACACAGATGCTTGTCTACATCATTTGTATGCCAAGTATATCATTTTAATATAACGATGAGGCCAAAGTGCAATATTGAAGATGTGATCAGAAATATGCTTGGTGCCCCTTAAAAAATAAAGTGGAAGGTATATCCAATGGTTGGCAAACTGTTATTGTCACAGGCAATTCAAATTTGACAGGTGATTTAATTCTAACCGCAAGAGATCACAGGAATGTTGCATCAATAATTATTTAAATTAAATGGTATTTTTCTTCATGTTCACAAAGTTTACAAAATACAAACAATTTTCTGTGACATTAAAAAATGCTAGTTAATATTTAAACATTAAAAATAAAACGCTGTCAGTAGAAATATAAATAATGTTATTGCAATACAAGATAGTTTTATGGTGGAGAATAAATCACTAATGGCCATCTGTGAAGAAATACTTGGTGTAGAGAATAATAAATAGAGAAACATTTTAAAATATTTCAGACTTCACTTGCTAATAATAAACATGGATCATAGTGAACAAATCTTGTTTTGTTTTCCCACAGCTTTAGTCCAGTAGATATTTAATTTAGTAAAGAATATGGATGAGACAACTATTAGCTAAATTGCCTGCAGAGAAGGCAATATAATGAAGAAATACATTGATATATTATGATATAGTTTCACTTCCCAAAATTATTGTTTGGGGATTAGTGAATATTTGTCTTCTTAGAGTATCTAACCTGTCTCTTATGACTGCCACAATTCAAAATATTCAAACATTGAATTTATTTAGCAGTTTCGAAACTGTCACCATTATTTGTTCACAGAGGCGATTTATGAAATACGACCAACATCAAACAGATTTATTGATTAAACAGGTTACATAACATTCAGTGGGCATTGTACACATAAGTATATCAAGTTTAACATGCAAACTTAATTACACAGGGGCTGAACAAATCCACACATAATTTCAATGTTCAAATTTTTATGTTAATTACAGCTAAAATTACACGATACATATTTGCTTCACAATATTTTAAATGTTGACAATAGTTTGTATTCCTGGTTCAAGGCAAAACCTGGTAGACATCCCGAGTACCAGGCAAAACCTGGTAGACATCCTGAGTACCAGGCGAAACCTAGATTCCAACCCATGTACCAAGTGAAACCTAGATGTCATTCCAAGTACCAGGTGAAACCTAGATGTCATTCCAAGTACCAGGTGAAACCTAGATGTCATTCCAAGTATCAGGTGAAACCTAGATGCCATTCCAAGTATCAGGTGAAACCTAGATGCCATTCCAAGTACCAGGTGAAACCTAGATGCCATCCCGTGTACCAAGTGAAACCTAGATGCCATCCCGTGTACCAAGTGAAACCTAGATGTCATTCCAAGTACCAGGTGAAACCTAGATGTCATTCCAAGTACCAAGTGAAACCTAGATGTCATTCCAAGTACCAGGTGAAACCTAGATGTCATTCCAAGTACCAGGTGAAACCTAGATGCCATCCCGTGTACCAAGTGAAACCTAGATGCCATCCCGTGTACCAGGTGAAACCTAGATGTCATTCCAAGTACCAGGTGAAACCTAGATGCCATCCCGTGTACCAAGTGAAACCTAGATGTCATTGCAAGTACCAAGTGAAACCTAGATGTCATTCCAAGTACCAGGTGAAACCTAGATGTCATTGCAAGTACCAAGTGAAACCTAGATGTCATTGCAAGTACCAAGTGAAACCTAGATGTCATTGCAAGTACCAAGTGAAACCTAGATGTCATTGCAAGTACCAAGTGAAACCTAGATGTCATTGCAAGTACCAAGTGAAACCTAGATGTCATTCCAAGTACCAAGTGAAACCTAGATGTCATTCCAAGTACCAAGTGAAACCTAGATGTCATTCCAAGTACCAAGTGAAACCTAGATGTCATTCCAAGTACCAAGTGAAACCTAGATGTCATTCCAAGTACCAAGTCCTAGATGCCATCCCGTGTACCAGGCGAAATATAGATGCCGTCTCGAGTACAAGGCAAAATATAGATGCAGTCCCGAGTACCAGGCGAAACCTAGATTCCATCCATAGTACCAGACGAAACCTAGATGCTGTCCTGAGAAACTGA